ATCTTACTGCATTGAAGGAGGAGAGGGGGAAAGGGGGGAAAAAATAAAAGAAAATAAAAAAGCTAGGTTTGATTCATTTGGCTGGGACATCATGAACCGCATCCTGGCTGTCGGTGAGTATTTCTCATGTAGTCACCATCTCGGGGGAAAAAAAGAAAATAAAAAAGCTAGGTTTGATTCATTTGGCTGGGACATCATGAACCCCATCCTGGCTGTCGGTGAGTATTTCTCATGTAGTCACCATCTCCTTGAAAATGCAAGTGTTACATAGAAACATAGAATGGTCTGGGTTGGAAGGGACCTTAAAGCTCATCCAGTTCCAACCCCCCTGCCATCAGCAGGGACACCTTCCACTAGACCAGGTTGCTCAAAGCCTCATCCAGCTTGGCCTTAAAATGCACAGAAGGAGCTAAACCCTTAGAAAAAAACAAGGGAAAATCTTGGGAACTGTATATTGTTGCCTGAGCTCAGATCTCTTGCCTGGCCACAGAAGGAGCTAAGCCCTTATTAAAAAACAAGGGAAAATCTTGGGAACTGTACATTGTTGCCTGAGCTCAGATCTCTTGCCTGGCCCTTTTGGCTGTATTTACAGTAAGATGTTTCCATTGTGGTTGTGTGATTTCTTCCTATTCTTTGCATCTACTGTGGCACAGACATGCATAACAAAGATATAAGGTAGAGCACAGATGCTGAATTCTGGGGTGATGAAAAGTTCAATACTTTACACAGAGCTTTTTTTTCCTCATTTCTAGCTATAACAGAAAGCACCTGAGAATGGAACGAAAGGCATTAATAACCCCAGCCTTTGCCACTGCCTTCCCAGCATGCAGCAACTCTTGAAAGCGTAGAAGAGGTCCACTGGTATATTTATATAGTGTAGAGTGGCAAAAGAAAGAAAAAAGAGGTGTGAATTTATATTAGCTCTCAATTAGCTCAAAGCCATATTACCAGCACCCTACTGTTTGCTAGTGGCGTTTGGCTGAATAGAAAGAAAAGTTGATGACTAGTCTAAATGCCTTGGGGTGATCTGGTGTTCCAAGGCAGTGCTGTGGAGGAATTCAATCACAACTTCATTTTGTTCACAGTTGATAAAAAGTTCAGGGCTCAGAAGAGTGTCTTGAACAGGCCAAGAGGGGCTGCAATAAGCCCCTTGCCACTACTCAAGGGATCAAGGGATACTTTAACGTTCCCTCCTTCTGACAGCCTCTTGGCTAGGGAAGACATACAGCTATACTTGTGAATATTAGGCAGAACAAGAACATGCAGTGCTCACAACCTCTGCTTTCAGTTGAATCTTGGCTGCATTGTTTCTGTTTCCTGCTGTATCCCAGTCTTTTGAGATGGAATGCTAGCATTTCTCAGTCTAGCCTGCTAAAATCTGGTGAGAGTAAAACTAGAATAGTAGCATGGACCTTGCATTTCCCTTGCCGAGCTCCACGGGCTCCAATTAATTGCTTCCAGTTTACTTATGAAGAGAAATGGAAATGCTGTGTCAGAATGGTTGTTGGCTAAAGAAATGTGCTCAGATACCTTATCAGAAATTCCTACTACCTATGTCCTTTTTTAATGACGGCGGGCAGCGCTCCTTGGTTCCGTGTATAGCTGCGTACTTCATGTCTCACATCCACAGTCCTTACGGCTGTTTCCCAAGCGCTGTGAGGAATGTTGCCATTGGCATAGACAAACAGGGTTTCATTTTTGAAGCAGTGCATGTTTCTTTAAAAACCCAGGTGTGTTTGGCAGCTGCAACTAATGCCTCTGTGGTCTGGAGGTAAAATTAGCTGCTCTGGGAGAAGGGTTTTCGTGCGCTACGGCATGAAAAGAGAGGGTGACAAAGGGTTTGCACTAAAGTTGCTGAGAAGTGCTCTGGCTGTAGAGGAATAGCTCAATGAAGATGATTGTTTTCTGCAAGCTAATGGCTGCGGTTTCAAAAGAAAACCTTTTCATTTTGACCTTTTGAAATTCATACTTGACTTGGACTTGTTAGGCCACAGAGCTGCGGCAGCATTAAGCTATAGCTGGAGGAGAGCCAGAATCCAATTACATTTTCTGCCTAATGGGTCATAATTTATGCTATGAAGAAGGCAATGATGTTGCTGGGGGAAAAGGGCATTGTGCTTGCTTGGGTAGGCTGTGGAAGGCTGATTGTAAATGAATATGAAAATGAGGAGGTATGCTTTCCTTTCTCACATGTCAGATCAGAAAATAAGTAGTCATAGTGGACTGTACACAACACAGGCTAGAAATTTGGTTAGCTCTCCGGCTGGCTGTCTGACTTGCTTTGCTGTGATTGTTGATTCTCCCTCACTGTACTAAAACAGGATTGTTTTAATAAATTCAGCATCTTTGACTTTTTGCTTTTGGTTTCTGGTGACAGTTCCAAAATAGTATGCTAATCAGTTTCACTTTTGTAAATGAGGGAAAAAAATTAAAGGTTTTTTCAGTAGTGGGATTCCAAATGTAGGCTCCTAAGCTGTGCTTAGTTATTGAGGTAGGAGACTTGACCTACTCCTTAGAGAGCTGCTCAGAGCAGTTGTTTCTTCTTGAAAGCCCAACTTTTAATTTAGGTATCTAAATACAGATAGAAAAACTGAACTTTGAATTTCTGCTGTCAATGTTGACCTTTCTTTTTTTACTTTCCAAGTGAAGGTGAGAAGGCTTTTACAGCCGCAATTATCAGAGCCTCTGAACTTTAACAAACGCTTGGCTGTTCATCCAGGAGCTCTAGATGTTCCTTAATAAATTGTTCTCATTTAGGTGAGCCTAAGGATTCTTGGTTCTGTAAATTTAATTTCTAAACAGGAGCTATCACTTACATGCCAAAGACAAGCTCATAAAAGACAGATTAACGGATAATTTGAAAACACTGTAAAAAGGTCCCATTAATAAAAAGTGCCTGGTTTTCGCTGACGCCCCCAGCTTCTGGAATGTTCATACATAACCACTGTTATGTCATTGTGGAGTGTTTGCATCACTGCACATTGCTGCAGCTGCTGCCCAAAGACCTAAATGGAGTTTGCAATATTGTCTATGCTCAAACCTAGTTCCATTGTAATGCAGAAGGATAAATGGTTTACATGGTACTGTAAAATAGAAATCTGATCTGGAGGAACTCGGAGGTCTGGTTTTGAGACATTTAACATCTCTTCCTAGTACTTTTGCACTCGTTCCATACAGCAGAGACCTGCCCGTGATTCCAAATGTAAAATTCGGATGTTGGAAAGATTGGTAGAAAAACAACAAATTGAGCCTATAGAAGTAGCCTATTTAGTCCTTGCTGTGCTGAATCTAATAAAACTGTAGTCTTTTATTATATTTGTCTTTTTGTACTTGCAGTTCTGTTTGGGATTGAATTACATGAAAGTGGTATAGTTGAGAGAAATAAAACCAGCTAAATGCAGGAGCTAGAAGGGCAACGTGTACTTCATTGAAAAGTGCAAGGGAAGTGAGAGAGAGTACCCTCAGACAAAACACATAAGTTAAATAAAGGTGTCCAAAGGGAATTTGAAAACCTCTGAGAATAATTTTGGTTTCTTTCAGCAACAGCATCCTCAAATATTCTCTCTGGAATTATCATCTAACTTGGTTTATTTTTTAAAATGATTCCTTTGAGGCTGTGCTGAATTCGGTTGTAGGGAGCACAGAAGGTACAATACTTTTCACTGACTCCAGGCTCCCTCAATTTCAGACAAGCATGTAATAGATACTCCACTCGGGTCCATGGGACATCTGCTCCATCTCTGCTGCCAAAACACCTTCAGTCTCTTATTTAAAAGTAAAATTAAACTAAACTGAATTAACAAAAAAATCAAGAAAATGACAACTGAAAAATACTAACAAAAAAACTGAAGCACTGATGATATTCCATGAGGAGACAGTGGAAGAGACTAATTATTAGCATTGCTAATATCTTCATCCCTGCAGTAGAAGGGAGTTGGGTGAGATGTGCCTGGATCATCTTGGAAGCAAGTCTCAGCCAGTACTGTGAAGGCAGAAATCACAAACTGTCAATAATCCGTGGCAGTATATACTGGAGGAAATGTCCTTCCTAATCCAGGTGTGCTCTGTCTGCCATAAACACCTTTGACTTGCTGGCTGATTGGACCAGGTTTCTACCTGGAAGATCAGAGTAGGAGGTCAAGGACCCAGAGTATGCCAGTGACTCCCATTCTGCATTTGTGATGGATGGTAACTGGGACTTGTATGAATATGGTCTCATACAGAGCGACAGGAAGTCTCCAAAGCAAAGATAACTTGTATTTGCTGCCAGGATGGGCCTTTGAGCCAGTTCCAGTTTGAATTCAGGGGAGTCCTTACAGGCCACTTGATGTTCTGGTGCGTACATCAAACGCACTCCCTAGTGTTGCGGCGTGGTAGAGACTTGAATGTAAATTGGCCCTTTCTGTATCATTGCATGTGGTTTTATAAAGGGCTGGAAGCAACTCTGAATGTTAAGAACTTCTTTTGGGTCCTCAGGTGTCCAGGGCACTGTATGTTCAGATAAATACTGATAAAGAGCAATGCTTACGGAAGCCAAGAATGCTCCACCCTATGCTCTTCCATTGGGTGAGTAAAGGAGCCACAGGGATTGGAAGGCTGGCAAAGCTGGTTTAGCTGAAGATCACTCCTGTTGTCTAACCATCTTCTGCATGCTCATTTCTTTTCCAGCCTCTCTACAAGTGGACATTGTTCCAAGCCAGGGAGAGATCAGCGTTGGAGAATCCAAGTTCTTCTTATGTCAGGGTGAGTGATTACTTACAGCATCAGTTATCTCCATATGGGTTTGCTGGGAAGGTCTATCGATATCTTAACTCTGGGCTAAAAGCGCCAGTGCCAGGGCTAGCTGCAAGATCTCTTGCTCTTTCTTTCTCATATGCCCTTATGGTTTATAAGACTTAAGTAGCAAAGACAACACATGCTGTTTGCTGGAAACAATAAATGCATTCTCCCCTTGAGAACTGGCAAGAGAAAGCAGATCCAGCAAACAGGTTTTAAAATGAAAAAACAGGTACTGAAGTGTTGTCTCTGAGCTTGAGCAATAGCCACAACAATGGCACTTGGCATCATTTCACAGCTCTTTGATCTTTTGAATTTAGAATTAAGCTAGTTGTTTTTCCAAATTATTTTTCTAATCAACTGCCAACAGCAGTAATGGGAAGTGCCCGGTTACCTGGGAGTTGTTACCTCTGCAACTAATTTTAATGCTGCCAAAAACCTGCTTTTCTTGTGATGCAATTTACTGTTTGTTCGGGCCACTAACTGCCCCAGGCTGTTTTCCTGCACAGTGTGGTGCAGTGCTGACACAATCCACGTGCCCCAAAGCAGGGCGTACAATTTTATGGCATTTTCCAAATTGTCATCCCTGTGTCCTCTTCAGAGGTTCTCCTGAAAGTGGCTGGCCTGGTTTCTAATGGTAGGAATTAGTATGTTGGAGCACTGACATGATAGCACCCTGAAGCATGACACAGAGCAAATAGGTGCTATAGTGAGCTCTGGGAGCAAAATGCCATCAGAGGACCACAGTTCCTTAGCACACTGACTGGGACAAATAAGGTTGTCTGATCCAGGAGTGCTTAACTGCAGAGTAAATTGTTAATGCCAGTGCTTTAAAAATGAAAGTATACTCTGAGCAAGTGCTGTTGTGCTGAGATTTGCCTTCAGAAAACTGTGGGATCAATTAAAACCCCTCTGATAATAGAATTTTGTCTCAAATAACAAAGCCACACTGAGCAACGCAGAGACGTGAGCTGCAAGAAAAAGACAACCTGGAACTGGTTAATAACAGTTCTGATTTACACTGGATGCAGCAGGAGGTTTAAGCTGATTGATGCCAGAACTGCTGCTACAGCAATGTCACCATTTTGGTGCAGAAAGTAGCCAGACTGCAAATATGGGTATTTATTGAAAATGTGATGGAGCTGAAGCAGGAAGAGATTTTTATTTATTGGACTGATCTGCCTAGCGGAGAGTCCGGGATGTGGGATCCCAGGGTGCATAGAAGGCCATTCTGGGCTAAAATGAGCGCACCCCTTTAGATTATAAAACCAACCTAATATCATTTTTGCAGGACAGCAGCTGACCATTCACAGTGCTGTGAGAGAGAATTTTCTTTGCTTGCTTCTCAGGTACCAGAAGCCCTTCCCCTGGGTCAGTCTTCCGAACAGTGCTACTGCTTGTATTTAATACCCTCTGTGCAGATGTGTTGGGAATGCATTTCAATTTGCACTGGTTTTTTTTGTTGTCCCTAGTGGCAGGGGAGGCCAAATACAAAGACATTTCCTGGTTTTCCCCTAACGGTGAGAAGCTGACGCCGAACCAACAGCGCATCTCAGTGGTGCGAAATGATGACTTCTCCTCCACCCTCACCATCTACAACGCCAACATTGATGATGCTGGCATCTATAAATGTGTTGTCAGTAGCGTGGAGGAGGGAGACTCCGAGGCCACCGTCAATGTGAAAATTTTCCGTAAGAGAGCGGCTCCGAGGCTATTTTCTGGTCTACCTTGCACATGTATGAGGCAAGATTAGGGGGGCAACCATTTTCTCTTCTAGAAAAAGCTATTTTTAAAGGGGAAGGAGGGTGGAAAGAAAGGCAGTGTCCAGAATATGCAGCCTTCTCCTTTCTTGGTTTTGAGGGGGAAGTGGGAACCAGGACCTTGGGCTGTCAGGGCTTTACCAGTATGTTGACTGCGTAACTTCTTCTGAAAGACAGGAGAGCACAGGGTAGAAGGAGAAGATTCTCACACATCATAAATGTCTGGGAGGAGTAAGCAGAGAAAGCAGCTTTTATGGAAGACAGACGTCCTGTGTCCCAAGGTCATGTTTTCTGTTTTCAGTGTGGACGAATCAGTGAGCTGGGTAGAGTATTGATTTGGCCCACTGATATATCTGGGAAACATGGTTGGAAAATGGGGTTCCTGTGCTGCAGTGCAGTGCATTGACTCAGGCACACCTTTATCCTCCTCTCAGGAACATGAGGATTTCTTGAGAACATGTCCTCTGGGGTTTCTTTGCTTCCCTTAGGCTTGAGTCAGGAACACAGCTTGAGGTGTGCTGAGAAAGCTGCAGTGACTTTCTCCTTCTATTGTTTTCAGAAAAGCTGATGTTCAAGAATGCTCCCACTCCTCAGGAATTCAAAGAAGGGGATGATGCTGTGATTGTGTGTGATGTGGTCAGCTCACTGCCTCCTACCATCATCTGGAAGCACAAAGGCAGGGATGTTATCCTAAAAAAAGATGGTAAGGCGCAAGAGGTGACTTGGCACTTGTCCATTAAGGGGTCAAATGTCCATCTCCCAACACGGCTCAAATCAGGCTCACAGAAGTGGGTCAGGAGAACAAAATGGTGGCAGTCACAAGGGAGGAGAGAAGTAATTTGTACCTAGCACTAGGTCTTAGGATGTGATTTAGTTATTTGAGGTGCTGCGGTTTGCCAACGGCAGGACAATAATGTTCCCACAGAAACTGCTGTCAGGCTTTGATACTGGAATAGGCGAAGGAATAGTAGAAAAAAAAATCAGGTAAAAGAAATGCTGTTGGACAGAAAAGCTGCATGTTGTGACACTCGAGTTTTCCTAAGGAAAAGGGGCTAAAAGCTCCTTCCAAGAAACTTTCCCTTCCCTTTAAAATGCTGCAGACTGTCATGGCCAGAGGGGCATTTTGCTGGCAGAAGGGGACTCTAGAGCCCTGACTCCAGTTGGGCATTCGTGCCTCAGCTGTGTTTCCCACGTTCGCTTGTTGCAGGCACAAGGGAACCTGCAGCAAGACTTGAACTCTGCCACCCTTGGGCAAGAGGGGCAAGTTTCAAACTGCTTGTTGTCTGATACTAAGTAAATGTAAAATGTGTTTGTGTGTGGATATTTATCTGTTTATCTCTCTGTGTGTACTTATGGTATAAAGCACCAGAGCAGTTCACCTGCTACCCACATCTGGTTTGTTTCTTGGCAATGTCAGACCCAGCTACAGCAGCATCTCCATTAAATGATGAGAAGGGAAATGTTGTTATTCTAAGCCTTGTCTCAGGGCAAGGAGAGGAGAAGAACCTGTTACCTGCGGTGAGCTTTCCTGAGGATCCTTGGATGAACCTTCCTTTTGTCTCTTCTAGTTCGATTTATAGTCCTGTCCAACAACTACCTGCAGATCCGGGGGATCAAGAAAACAGATGAAGGGACATACCGCTGTGAGGGCCGGATCTTGGCTCGTGGGGAGATCAACTTCAAAGATATTCAGGTCATCGTAAATGGTGAGCAGCTTAGAGTAAGCCTAGTACAGGGGCGGGATATGTAGCACCTGCACTCCAAGCTGCTGATGGAAGTGTTACTTTAGATTCATGCTCACAGTTTACCATCAGCTTACTAATCTTTTTCTGCTGTATCAAATAAAAATGTCTGTGAAATTGAGTGTTTACCAGATATTTACAGGAAACTGTTGTGTCAAGAGGAACCTTAAGTGTCTCATGACTTAAAGTGAGGTATTGATCTTGCTGGGAGTCACAAGTGGTTTTGTCCACAGTACTGATTTTCTGTGAGTCTCCCCACCCCCTGCCCTTCCTTCCCTGTGCTGATTGCTTTGGAGAGCTCGTGCATCAAACCTGCTGATTGAAACCTGCAGGCAATCGCATAAGGGTTTGACTTACTGCTGACATCTGTGTATATTGCAGAGATTTACAGTGAGCCTTCCAGGGCTTGCTTTTTTCCTCACATCTTCTTTCCTTTCTAACTCGAATGTGGGTTCCTTCTCTTCTAGTACCTCCTTCTGTGCGTGCCAGGCAGAGCACTATGAATGCCACTGCCAACCTCAGCCAGTCTGTCACCTTAGCATGTGATGCTGATGGCTTTCCTGAGCCAACCGTAACGTGGACAAAGTAAGATGCTGTGTGCGATGTCCTGATTGTGTGTGAGCATGCATGTTTTCACCAAGGCCTGGAAAACCAGGCTGGAGGGAAAGCAACATTTTAACTGGAATAAGATTATTTCCTTTTTCTCACAAGAGAAGGAGTGGCCTCATAATGGAATTGCAGTTAGCTTCTGTTGTGAGTTAACCCCAATAGGTGGCTAAGCACCACACAGCCACTCACTGCGTGTTCCCCGAGTGGGATGGGGAAGAGAATCAGAAGGGTAAAATGTAAAAACGTGTTGGTTGAGGTAAAGGCAGTTTAGCAGATAAAGCAAAAGCTATGCATGCAAGCAAAGCAAAATAAGGAATTAATTCACTACCTCCCATTTACTAGCAAGTGTTTAGCCAGGTCAGCTGTCCCAGCTGTATCCCTTCCCAACTTCTCGTGCACACCCAGCCTACTTGCTGGCAGGGCAGTGTGAGAAACAGAAAACCCTTTGACCTTATGTGTGTGCTGCTCAGCAATAGCTAAAACATCATTGTGTTATCAATGCTGCTTTGGTCACAAGACCCGAAACATAGTGCCATATGATGTACTATGAAGAAAATGAACTCTTATCCCAGCCAAAACCAGTACTGCTTCCAGGAAAACCAGGAATAACAGTAAAAATAGCACTTTTTCACTGTCCCGTTGCTTCCTTTGTCAAGCTGCAAATAGAGAGGAAGCTTCACGCTGACCAGAGATTAGGAATGGATCAAAAAATGGAAAAGCTGGAGGTCCCTCTCAACCTGAGGAGTTTCAGTGTAGCAACACAGTTCTAGCATTAACAAGTAGCCTTTGCATCTCCTCCCCAACACAGCCAGTGTGCTTTGTGCCCTGCAGGGATGGCGAGCCAATAGAGCAGGCTGATGATGAAGAGAAATACAGTTTTAACTACGACGGGTCCGAGCTTATCATCAAGAAGGTGGATAAGAACGACGAAGCAGAATACATCTGCATTGCTGAGAACAAGGCTGGCGAGCAGGATGCCACCATTCATCTCAAAGTCTTTGGTAAACGTGCTCTTACTGTCCCCCACTTTCCAATCCAGTTAGCTATTGGTAGCACATTAGTACAAGCCAGAAGTAACCTACTTATCCCAGTTAATGCCTGATGTGGCATATCCAGAGCTGCTGCTTTCCCAAGTAGTGCTGTGCGACTCTGCCATCGTGCTAGGTACAACAGATCCTGTGTGTGTGTTTGAAACGGATGCCAACTCCATTCTGCTTCCTCTCTGATAAAAGAAATTCAGTCCTGTGCAGGGTGTGGTGTGAGATTCACGTACTACTTGAAATATCTTGCAGGCCCCAGAGGGCTGAATCCTAATGCAACCAAAGCTGCTATTAAAAGAGCTTTAGCATGTCAGTGGGACGTGCTATAACCTGACAAGGAGGTAAACTCCACACCACTGCGTGAATGACCTCAAGCTGGTAGGAATGAATCAGCAGCTTTCCTACCTTCCATGAATCTGGGAGTGTTGAGGAATATAGTTCTCCCTGTTCCATCCCTTTGCAGCCACTTGACAAAGCTGCTTATCAAAAGGCTAATTTGAGGCAGAGGAAGTAGGCAGTGAGGTGAAAGACTTAGCTCATAATCCCAGGAACTGATCATTTGTACACTGTTAAATGGGCTCTACCTCAGATAAACCCTCTTCTAGTCCTTTCTTACAAGTCTCAGCTGTAAGCATGTGTAGAAAAGGTCTTCTAGTTCTGCAAGGAAGTACCCTCTTCTCCAATGTCACTCTGCTTCCTTCCTCATATGGCAGTAAACTTGTGCCAATTCAAAAGCCTTTTTTCCCCAATGTTGCATGTTTCAGACATGGCTGCTGACAGGAAGCTTCATTCTGAGCACCAACTGAATGAAGGTTGCTTTTTCTTTTCAGCAAAACCCAAAATCACCTATGTGGAGAATAAAACAGCCATGGAGCTGGAGGATCAGATTACACTGACCTGTGAGGCATCTGGGGACCCAATCCCTTCCATCACTTGGAGAACTTCCACCCGGAACATCAGCAATGAAGACAAGGTATAACCCTTCCCAAAACCCTGCTCTCATTTGCTGGGATCAGTGCAGCTTGTATCCGCCTGCCTCTGCTGATCCAGAATGCATGACAGCTGCATGCAGGTGCACATGGCAATCATGGTGACTCCCCTCTCTGTAGTGAGAACACGTGCAGTCCTGCACAGACTGTTTGTTAAAGGGTCGGCTCCACAGCTTGAAGCAATTACATAGGTGTCCTTTTGTACAAAGAGCCGTCTCAGTTTATGAGAACTGAGGATATGCTTTTTAATTCCTGCCGGTATCATTCTGAGTTGAATTAACTTGAAAAGCAATAGGCCTTGAACCCTTTTCAGAGGAGTTTCCAAAAGGACCTACGGTTGCAGGAAGCTTATAGAAGGGTTTTTCCCTTCTGTTTCCAAGCTGAGAGGTGGGAATGAGTACCCCAATTCCAGTGTTGTCCATGCTGTCATCATCATGATGATGATATGATCTGGGAGGGTTGCAGGTGGAGAGGTGTAGGTTATTACCTCTCAAAGATGCAGTGGACCAAAATTAATTCCTTCTTGCCCCTGCATTGTATTCTAGTACTGCATGTATCTGAAGCACAAAAGCCTGACTGCCTTTGTGTTCGCCTGTTTCGTTGATCACGTCGATGCCATTTTGTTTTTAAAAGGCAAAAATAATTAGCAGTTTTTCTTTTAAGTGTGTTGGGTTTTTTATTGACCATGATTCCCCTTGACTAGACAAGATTGGGATGTGCTGTATTACTGTAGATTTTTCATAATAGTTGCATAAGGTGATCAGGAGGCAGTTTAGAGGCAAAGACTGCCTAGACAAAAGTTGGAGTAAGGAGTTGTTGCTCATTAATAGTCTTCTAATAACAGGATGCTTCAAGGCTCAGCTAACTTGGGCATCCCAGGGGTTCTGACAATTTGAAGGCAGCAGTTGGCAGACTATGAAAGTCTTAAAGCAACAGAGGTATCTGCTATCAGTAATCCACACAGCTGCCATTCTGCACTATAGCCTCCTAAATGAGGTTTTTTTTCAATTGCTTCCATCATGTCAGCTCTTGACCATGTTGTTAATGTGTAACTTACTAACCAGGGTGCTAAAGTTTTCCAGCCTTAATTCTTTTTAAACTTCTCTTGGATTCAAGGGCTAGTGTAAATCCCTGCAATGTTTAGAGAGATTTTCCATTGCCTTCTAAAGCTGTTGGCTTGGGCTCTCACTACAGCAAGACTTGAAGACTTGATTTGGCAGGATAAGGTTATTCATGGTTGTCTCTGTCTAGGAGATCAGTGAGAGGAGCTAAGTGCTCTGGTGCTTCTAGCACTAGAGTTTGGATCACAGCCATGGAAAAGAGCTGTAACAGGGAGAAGAATCTAAAAACTGAAATAACACTAGATCACATAGGAGTCAGTCAGACAGCCTGTTTGCAGAGAGTCCTGTCTGTCCAGCCCAATTAAACTCATAAGACCTCGGTGACAAAACTGCTAACCATTTTTGAGACTCTCATATATTCTGTTTGATGCTGTTAAGTTGGTGACCAATATTAAGGAAAATGTTAATACTCCAATAGTTTCTTATATAGATGAGGAGAAAATCAAGGATTTTATTTGTCTCATGCATTGGTTCAAACCTTCAGGGCAAAGCTTTTTTTTTCTATCTTACTGTACACTTTCTAGGTGGGATTTTTTTGTGTGTCTGTTTTATTTTTTACTTTTTCCCATTCTCTATCTTGTGCTATAAGTTTAGGTGAATGATACAGATGTTCAGAAAATCCTCAGGTCAAAATAGCTGTGATAAACATTCCATTACATGTACAACCAAATGCATATATTCAATTTACCACCTACTTGCTGTCTCCGGGACAGCACAGGGAAATGGATGGTCTTTGTGGGACATACAATACTATCTTTAAAATTATCAGGCCCTACTTTTGAATATGCTTTAGATACTTGGATGCATCTGTCTTGCTATATGTTGTTTACCTTTGTACATTTTGTTTACAGTTGGACTCTATGATCTTAAAGGTCTTTTCCAACCAAAACAAGTCTGTGATTCTGTGATTCAGTACAGATTTTTAAAGGTCTGGAGGTGCCTTAACTCCCATGAACATTTGGTACTTCAGAAAAACCTACCCAAACACACAAACAAACAAACAGGTAAAAAAACCCCTCTCTGGCTTAGAGGATTTCCCCACCCCCTCTCAGTCCAAGAACAGAGACCGTCTCATGTGCGGACAAGGGCCAGGAGGTGTTTATAGCCTAAAAATCTAGGCTGGTAATGTCACAACTACTTCAACGTTCCCATGCTTCCCTGAGAGACCTCTTGATGTCCTAGCATGCATAGTGAAAGGTTCACCTCTCTATGGCTGTGCCTGCGTAACGTGGCACCCCTTGGACAAACAATCTTTTGCTTTGAGGATGGTGTGCAAAGGCAAGTGGTTGTGACTGTGCTCTAGCAAAATCAGATGATTGGCAACTGTATAGCAATACAGATGAGCAGACCAAGCTTCCAGATACTGGCATGGTGGAAGCTTCCTCTTACTGGTAAGCTGACAGCTTGCACTCTTCTGCCCTGCAGAGTGAGCAGGTAAAATTAAAATAAATAAATAATAATAAAAAAATTGCTTAAGTGTGGTTTACTTTGGTTGTGAATGTAGGAACAGGCTACTTAGGAGAAACTTTTGCCCTGTCAATCTGAGATTCCTGTCTGTGACTCCTGCAGAACATAGCAAGAACTAACAGGCCTGGAAAGTCATCAGCGTGATGATTGGAAATGGTTTGGCTTTATCTTTCTTCACGTATTTATTACTGTGCCATTGCAGGGAAGAGAAATGCTTTCTCTTTGAATGATAACAGATGTAAAGCTGATGAAGTCAGTATGCCATATTCCTCATCACTTTCAGTATATTTCATACCCCTTTAAGAGACATGTTTCTTCTGTTGCTCTAGCAGAATACTAACTGTGATTCAGTAAATACAGTTTTGATCTGTTGTGTATTGATATACACAAGTTTTACCATTTTAGTGCAGATTGTGTTACATGTACAACCAGTACATTGGATGAGGCAATTTCCGTCAGATTTCTGGATGAGGCAATTTCTAGCTGCTCTTCAGAGTACTACTCTGAAGATGCTCCCATTTAACTACTTGCTTCCAAAGGGACAGGAAGATGCTAGCATGCCTGAGGCTCTTGGTTCCCCCTTTGTCTGCTGTGTGGTGCTGAGTAGAGCTTGTGTATCTCTTTGTCTTGGTGAGGGAGTGTTAGTATGAAACTCTACAGGATGGAGAATGTAGTCCTGCCTTTTTTTCCCCACAGCCACAAATGCCATTACAAAGAAACAGCAAACTCTAGGAAAGTGGGAGCAGGCTTTTTTCCTCCTTCATCTTCCTTTAGATCAACAAGTGCTGAACACCAAAGGCTAAAAACATGTCTCCATCTGTGCTGACACCATAGAGACTCAGGGAGTAGGATTGAAATGGGACTTGCATGGGCAGTTCCCTGGCTAGCATGGCTTGCTCGGATACAGAGAATGACGGGTACATGAAAAAGGGATTATGCTGAATTATTATGGTTTTCTGTTCAGCTTTCAAGAAACTCGTGCACAACAGGATATATATACATAGAAAAGATCAGATGATGCGAGTGTCCTAGCCCATGCAGCTGTTGGTGAGCTGCTCTTCAGGTGGCTTTGCTACAGACCTCTAGTTACAGGCAAATAACTTGCTTTTATCGAAGACATTCTAAACTGAGGCTGTCTGTACCAGATGTTAACTCAAATCTCACAATGTTCACTAGAAGCACTGTGGAAACAGTATTATGTTTTTTATTCTCATTTCCTATGCTGTCATCTCCATTTCTGTAATGTCACTCTTGTGTATGCTGTTATATCCACATGTCAGCAATGCTTGTGCCTCACATTCAATTATGCCATCATGGCTGTGATATTAGCAGGTGATTTTTGACTCCTGAACTGAAATGGATCAAGGTGTAATTGAAATAGAGACCAGAAGAAAAATATTTGAAAGATAAATTATAGAGTAAAAATGTAAGCTAGCAACTTTAGTCTTTCTGGACCTCAGTGAGTATGGTCCCCGCTGTTGATGGCATTTTCTGAATGGCAAATGTATGTTTATTGGTGAGGCTTGTGCATGTTTCACTGATGCCTGTTGTTTGGTTGTCCCAAACCCAGTGAGGACTGGGAGCTCACATCCCCTAAGCATAATGAGCTGGACATTATCAACTGGAAGTGCAGGGTTCTGCCCTGCTGTCTCCTGCCTTGAGGGACGGAGGGTGGGGGGGGTGTCATATTGTTTCAGTGCTCTGCCGCTCAAAGTCTCCTACTCCTGGCACAGTATGCATGTAAAAATATGGACAAATGCATGATCACATTAACAATATGAGTGTTAATCAGTGTGTGCGGGTGGCTAACAAACCAGTGTTAGAAAACCAATTCCATAACTATCTTTGCAGTTTAGTTGCCTAGTGATCAGAATCGCATCCCCAGCATGCTGGGAACAGGTTTCTAGAAATGGTTGAGATGTGACAAGGGAAATAGTCACTCGATATGTAAAAACAGATGCAGTCTTTAGGTATCATTAGCCTTTGCTTAATCATTTTAAGACCAATTTCTAGGATATTAAATTTTGAATGCAAATCTAAAATTGAGGTTATACTGGGAAATGGAAATTATAACCCCACACACGTGAGATATACGACTTGGAGCCTGCATGTGCACAGAACGCAATGTGCTGCATACAGTGTGATACCTAAAACCATCTTTTGATAAACTTTTGCTTTTTTCTGTTGTTTTGTTCTATATCTGTTCTCTCCAGGCTTCGTGGACTCGGCCCGAGAAACAAGAGGTATAAGATATACCAAACCTTTAGCAAACTTCTTAGGTTTTTTTGGTTTTTTTTGCTTTTGTTTTTTAAGCATTACAGATTAACGAATCTCTAGTCCAGTAACCACGCCAACTAAACCAGCATTAATAATATGAACAAATTAAATACCAGTAAATAAAAGAAACAGCTTTTAGAGTTAGAAGTTGCTTGGCATGTAGTAATGCATTTTTGGATGAGCAAACTAGCTGTGTTGGGAGTGAGTAATTCTGGTTGTCATTAAAAAAAAACCCCCAAAAATTAAAAATAAAAGCCAATGTAAAATCTGACAAATACTGCTTTCACCATTTTCTTCTGTGCTGCCAGCGTGAATCTTATCTCCTTTCTAGAGTTTGAAAAATTAGCAAGAGCGGGTATTCTGGAAAAGTATTTTTTTTCAAAGATAGCCTCTTCTGCTCCAACCAACTCATCTGTTTGCTCATGGTACTCCTTAAGTCTCTTAAAGAACAACTGCATCATGTTCCATTTCAAAATCAATGCAGAGAAATCTTTTACAAGTTATATTGCTCCAGAAAGTGCTCCAAATTGCTAAATTATTATTTGTCTTTGATTTGCAAGGGTCAGTGAGGGGGTGTGGGGTAATGCAGTAACACGGTTTGGTGCAAACGTGCTTTGTAGCTGGTTTATGTCACATTCAGTGCTGTATTTTAAAAGCAATAATGTACCTTTACGTGCACCTGATTTGTAGCATTCTTGCTTCAAAATGGACCAGAAAGTATGTTTCCATGCAAATACTAGGGGACAAGTAAAGAACAAAATTAGCTATCAGAACTGGATGACTCGTATTTGTGTTTTTAGGATCAACTTTGGAGGCTCTGGGTAGCCTGAATTCTTTTTTATTTTTAAAACTATAGAGACTAGTGTGGCCAAAACAAAGCTGACCTCTAACTTAAGCATCACTGCCTTTTTTTCATATGGGGCTGAAAAGATACTGCCCATTCTTACTTCAAAATAATCTGTTGGAATAGAGGAATTGTGACAAGTTGAGGCATCGGATATTCAGATCAGTTTGCATTGAAGCATTTGGAATTTGAGTAGTTGCATCTCTTCAGGCTTATGTTGATTCCTATTACAGTTGTCTCTGTCTCCCCTCCTTCCCCCCACCCCCAGTGTTTTCACTGTGTTCTCTGTCTCAAGCTTTTTATTAATATGAGCACTGATACTACTGAGCTTGCTGACTCTCAGTTTCTCTCTGTGTCTTAAAATATCCAAGCAGGATTCTGTGAGAACGTTGTTGAAGCTTATTGTTGCAGCTTCCTTAGCCATAGCTTTAAAACAGCTACCACGGGGTCTTTTAGCAGTGTATTCCAGCGGCAGGGAGTTCAGTTCTCAGGAAGCTGAGTGAATACTTGGCATTAAGTATTTCACCCTTATTGATGTATTAGCTAGTTTAAAGAAGTCTATATGAGCTACAGGCATAGTAGCATATATGGCTGTTAAATCTTGCTTTCCTTTCTTTGGAGGCCCAACTGCAGTCAGCTGCTTCTTCTGCTAAACCACAGGCAGTTCTGCTTACTGTGCACAGTCTGTAATGTCTGAGGTCACCATTCTGGTCCTGCATGTACTGGAGAATTATTGAAAGTCATATATGCTAACAAAAATTAAGAAAACCAACCCCACACTATCATGAACAGATGCTAAAAAATTCAGTTACAACCAAATTAGACCTCAGTTATACCACAAACTGGTGATGCCTCTCTGACAACTGGGAATTAGTGCAACCATACAAATAGTAAGAGCTGCAGCTGAGTTCTGGTTAGTGTAGTGCAAGCACAGAGCTAGAGGACACCACTCGTGTTCCTTCACTGGAATTTGTAGCTGTGATCAGGGCTTGCAGGTGCTGCTTTGTAATGATGTCCACTGTGTGGAAAGTGGCTGAGGAGAAGATATGACTGCGTGAAATTAAGTCATGGATACTTGTTTGTGAAAGGACTGAAAAATCAATAAGGTGGGGGGGTGGGGAAATGTGTTTCTTGCTTGTCTCTCCTTTTCCACTTTGGCACTGAAGTATTGAAACCTGGGCCCGTTTTGTACATAGCAGTTGTGTTCCACATGCTGTTGTCAGAATTTGGAGAAAAACATCTGCATGCCTCTCAGGATAAGTTGTAGTAACTGGCTACACAGAGAACCATCATACCCTTTTCTGTAGAGTGGCAGTTGCTATGGCATGAGTTATTGCCTCTGTACCTTGGGTTGTCTCCCCATTACTATGAAGCATTTTGTTACCCAAATTCCTTGAAATCCTAGAGGCTAGGTGAAGGGATTACATGTGTGCATCTGGCTCACAAGTTTCTACCTATCCTGTATCTCTAATAGCCAAGAACTGTTAGCATCTGGTGGTCTGAAATACGAATAAAGAAAACTAGTGGCATGCTTTCTTGGATAGATGTTTCTTTCTTCTTTGGAGTATTTTTCCTGATCTTTCTTTTTCTTTGCTTGTGCCTTTGGCATTAAGAAACAAAGCTTCATCTTTAGAATCGGTTGCATTACTTGTAAAGTTACTGTTTTACCATGACTGTCTAGTACTCTTTTGTTTGTATTAGATCTTGACAAATTGTGGGGAAGGCAGGTGACGCTGGATATAAAACTACCTTCGTTCTAGCGATCGTGTGCTGGTACTTTGCCATGTTTATACTCTTGCTTGCTGATGGGGTCATAGAGACAAGTATTTAGAGTATTCATCCGACTCATGAGCTAAAAGATCTGGAGTCTTGACATTTATGCATCCTACTGCGATAGTTTCAGAAGTGAGCTAATTTTGGAGTCAAATCACAAGTCAGACAAAAGGATAATAATATAGTCAGCCAGTGAAGAAAGCTAAAAGCAGAATTTGGTTGTGTAAGATACCACAGTATCTTACACAAAACATCTTTTTAAGGGATCCTTCCCTGGTTCTAGGAAACAACGTGCACTATACCACGTGTACATGAAATAAAGAACTGTTCCCAGCAACATGTGGGACCGAGCACAGGGGAAGGAGTGGAGCTCGTAGCTTGTGGCATTGGTTGGGGATTGCAGTAGACCTGTGTGCAGGGTAGAAGAGAGAAGAAAAATACATCTAATTGTTTTTGTGTCATCAAAGGATACTATTTTTGTGCATATGAAATCTGACTAACTCAAATGAACTAGTATTCAGAACTAATAGAGGTAATTACATTTATTTGTAGAAACTTTGTCAGTCTCAGAGATTGAGATCACTAGCTCAAAACAGAAAGAGGCTTCAGGCCCAGAGGATCTGACTGCTTGAGATACCAGGGATGTACTTTGTGCTACAGCTCAGTGCATTTGCCTGTTTAATATCCTCAGGGTTTTTACTCATAATCTCAGTACTTGTCCTGTACCTTCCAAGAAAATGAATGTTCTTGGAGCATTAATTGCACTAAGTGTGGCAGGCTGCAGCAGATGGCACAGCTATGAGAGTACCTAATTTGTTCACTTGTGATTGTGCCACTTTGGAAACTAGATGAGAGAGTTGATGCTTTAAAGCTTCCAAGCTGAAGCATGAGCACCAGGGTGAATGGAGCAGTCCATGGCCTTATGTGCTTCATGTATTAAGAGAGCACTTGAGCTTTGGTCACAAATCAGTGAGAGAGAGAGGGGAAAAAAAAAAAGTGTGGGATGGGATTGCTTGGTGGCTGCAATCCCTTTGAGCAGATGGTAGCCTGGATTTTACATTCCTTGTCTCTCTGTCATTGACATCCCCACACTTTCTTGCTCCCCACATGAGAGCAAATTCTCAATTTCACATAACCAATACAGGTTGCTCTAGAATTTTTGTGAAGCATCACAAGACCTTGAGGCAGGGTTGTCTCTAGAAGGATGACATAGATTTCTTGCCCTGTTCACTGTACCTTGCTCTCTTCTAGTGCCATATTCAGGGCAAAGTTCTGAGCTGTCGTTTTGCCTGATTCAGCTCTGAGCTCTGCATCTGTTCTTATTGATGCCATTTCAAGGACACTGAAATAAAACAAGTATCGGTGAGAGAAGAGGAAGGCCTGAATTCTCTGAGCAGGAACAGTAGCTGTTGGGGAGGTTTTCTACAAGAGTGTGCTGTCAAAAATTTTTAACCAGAGATGGATCTCTGCAATTCTCATTCTGAGAAGAAGCTTGATGTTACCCAGCTGTCCTCAGATGCACAGTAGCATCTGATACTTTGGTTCTTCATTTTTTTTCCCTTCTCCTGAGTGCTTTGAATCACTGCAGTTGGCCCAGTGCAACAAGGAGTCTTCTTGTTGCTTTTGGAAATGCCTCTCTGTGCCCATAATTTCACCTGGCCTCAGGTGATCACTTCTGAAGTACTGAGCACTGGAGGATTGGTGTGAGGTAGACTTGCATTTGTTCCCACCCCTTTAGTCTGCACCACAGGCTCAGAGCTCAGCCTCTAACTCTCTTTTCCTTTCCTACCAGACCCTGGATGGGCGCATCATAGTACGTAGCCATGCCCGGGTGTCGTCCCTGACTCTCAAAGAAATTCAGTACACAGATGCCGGAGAATATGTATGCATAGCCAGCAACACCATCGGGCAGGACTCCCAAGCCATGTACCTTGAAGTGCAGTGTAAGAAGTGGAGGATGGGGTGGCGGGGAGGCTGTTCATGTTCGTAGAGAGGGGGACTGTTTTCATTTCCTGTGACAAGATTGAGGCACCTGTGGCTAGGGAAATGTGTGTTGTTTAGGTAGAGGGCATGGGAAGCAACAGTCTGAAATAACTTTGTTGGAGACGTGTTGCTGTGTGCATACATGCAGATGTTTGCTTTAGCTGTCTCCAGCTGGGATACTGTTTGCACCTTGGGAAGATTATGGGCCGTGAATCTCCCACAGTCCCACATGCTGGGCGCATCAGAGTTCTTCCCTAGAACTTCCTGGTATGTACATCCCTAGATGCATAGCATGCTGTCTGCTCCTCCCACGCTGCTTTAGAAGCAGCCTTTGGGACTGAGTAGGTTTCCTCCTTGTGTCCTCTAGCAAAAGACACTGCCCGGTCCCCCTAGCTGAGAAGACAGTTCCCGTTTCCTGTATTAGATTCCCTTCTCCACATTAAACTGAACCCCAGTCGAGGGATCTTTTTAAAGTGAGGCTGACTTGGCTGCTCTGGGAGATTTTCTTGCTCAAATTGCCTTCACAAATGTGTCTGTATTTCAGATGCCCCCAAGCTTCAGGGCCCTGTGGCTGTCTATACCTGGGAAGGTAATCAAGTGAACATCACCTGTGAGGTATTTGCTTACCCCAGTGCTGTCATCTCCTGGTTTCGGGATGGACAGCTGCTTCCCAGCTCCAACTACAGCAACATCAAGATCTACAACACTCCATCAGCAAGCTACCTGGAGGTGAGGAAAAGCAAGGAGGGGAGAAGGTATATGCAGTCAGGAAGACTCCGTGCTATCAAATAACTTGGGTTCCTGCTCTTAAAGGAGTTAGGTCTTTTGTCAGGGCACTCTGTTGGTAGTTGTATGAAGTTCCTGGCACATAAATGCTAAGAAAAGCAGGTCATAAAAGACGCCACCCTTCCTTGCCCTTGTTTTTCTGCCCACTGCAGTTCTCCCCTCTGTGGCCAGCCTCAGAGTGGTAGCACGTGTACTTTGCTGTGGTTTCTCTCCCCAGCAAAATGCAGAGTGCATTTGCAGAGTGAAGAGAGTTTTGTGATCCGAGCATGAGCCTTCATTCCTTCCACAGGTGACACCAGACTCTGAAAATGACTTTGGGAACTATAACTGCACTGCTGTGAACCGCATTGGCCAGGAGTCCTCAGAGTTCATTCTTGTGCAGGCAGGTGAGCATCCCAGGCAGGGAGATAAGGAAGCGTGTATGCAACCTTTGAGTCGAGGTGACAGTGACTGTTCTTTCCTAGTTTGTGGTGGTGAGGTAGCAGGAGAGCCAGCTTCTACTTTCAGAGAGACTGTTCACAGGTTTTTGCGTTGGGATGGGTTGTCAGTAACAAGATCCTCAGTTTCTGTTTCCTTGTTTCTGAGGGGTCTCGTTCTTTTCTGTACTTCCAGTACGTTTTGACAGAGCTGTGATCTTTGATTTCTGACAGCCGTTGCATATGTGCACGTGTGCTTCTCAAAATTGGCCAGATATCCCTAATAGAACAGATAGCACAAGACAGAAACCTCAGCACCGTGTACAAACCAAAGAGACCCGGTATGTGACTGCTTGACAGACTGGAAGGGCCTCTGGAGTCCTCTCAGGGCTGTCATAGAGACAGATTTAGGAATGGCCAAGCTATCTATTGGAGTACCCTATGGAAGAGACTGTAGGGACAGAATAGCATCCAGGATGCTCTTGCTACTCTGCTCTGGTTGTCCCCTTTTGAAGAAGGCTAAGTCTCTAGCTTCTTAAAGGAGAGACAAGATGAAGGTCTCTGCACTGTCTAATTAGCATTCTTAAAAGCCCTCTTAACAGCCTTCCCCTCCTGAGGGGAGCCTCAGGCCTACCCTTCTCCTCTCCTTTGGGAAGCCATGACAAGGGTGGGTTTAATATTCCCACTTCTCTGTTTTCTTTGCCACTGGAGCTTGTTTCCTGCTGTGTTCTGTATCACTGCTTGTTTTCCCTTCCTCCCCCAGATACTCCGTCCTCTCCTTCCATTGACAGAGTGGAGCCCTATTCCAGTACTGCCCAGGTGGAGTTCGATGAGCCTGAAGCTACCGGCGGGGTGCCCATCCTCAAGTACAAAGCAGAATGGAGGGCACTGGGCGAGGGAGAATGGCATTCGAGGTTGTATGATGCAAAAGAAGGTAGGATGATAAAACAAGGTGTTACCTCCCCCACCCTGCATCTCCCAAAGAGTTCCCTTTTGGGAAGGGTTCCATAGCTTTGCAATTTCAGCTCCTGTATTAAGGCCCCAGACAAGTTCTTCAATGTTTGCTTTGCAGTGACATCTTGAATTTTCAGTTGGAAATCAGCTGTGCTGATAGCTCTACGTGTGTGACGGGGCACCAGCCTTCTCTGCCTTCACACAGGGTGTGTGTTGTAGCACTGTGTTCACCTCTGTGTCCCTTCCTTGTCTGCACCATCCTGTCTGAATAAGGTGGAGAACCCTGTGCCTAGTATTGAATGAGGTTTCACTTACTGACTGGGGAGTGACTGCGGGCTTCCTACAGAAAGCTTTTCAAGCCTTGTCTGTCAGCCGCTTTAGTTACCCTTCAGTTCCCCTTGGAACGTCTCCAATTCCAGAAGCAAGCCTTAACTCCCATTGCACCCTGTCTCATTATAGCAATTTATAGGAATACACACAGCTTAAAATATATCTTGAAGTGCAGTAAACCACAGGAATTTTGATTTGGGAGGACTATGAGGAGAGAGAGCTCTATTTCAGAGCTGAATCTCCCAGCTCCAATCCTGGCTGGAACTGAAATTCTTCTTTTAGGTCCTCACTGGAGTGATGTGATGATAGCTAGGGTCAGATTTGGTTTTCTCATTTCTCCCTTTGTGTCTGTGCAGGAAAAATAGAGCTTATTTCTTTCCTCGTATCACCTCTAATCAGCTGGTTGACACAGAGGTGGTAGCTCTAACCTTTCTTTTTGCCGCACTGTTTATGCAAGGCTGGGCACAGAAGAGAGTTCTGTTACATAGGGTGAGCGTGGCAAAATGTGTGATAGAAACATGGCGTTTCCTGTTGACTTAAAGCCTGAGCCTTTCGTTGCTTTTCCTCCCTTGTTTCTGCAACAGCAAGTGTGGAGGGCATGATCACTATCACCGGCCTGAAACCTGAAACAACCTACTCTGTGAGACTGTCTGCGGTCAATGGCAAGGGTGTGGGTGAGATTAGCCTGCCATCCGACTTCAAGACACAACCAGTTCGTAAGTAAAACTGAGACCTCCCTCTGCTTCTCTGGTTCTCTTTCCTTGCATCTTTCCAGGGAATCTCTGCCATGCATGGATGACACCTTCTTCTCTTGCAGACCTTACTGCACCCTTTGTTTTTGTTGTGCGTTTTGATTGTAGTGAATTCAATTACTAATTTAAAATCTTCTGCCAGGGTAAGAGGCAGAAGGAACTATTTTATTTGCACTAGTTTGTGCCCTGGGTTACTAGTATAAACTTTATATTGTCAAAGAGAAGGAGCTATGCAATGGAAAGTTTTAATAAGAAAAGGCAGTGAGCTGAGAAGAGCATTGGTCATAAAGAAGGGAATCTCACTGTCACAAGGCAGGTTTTTTTGCAAATCAGAAATTAAAAGGTTCAGCACAGGACTCAGCCATGAACTGCGCAAGGGGAGGAAGGGGGATTTCTCTTTTCCACAAATCACTGCTTTAAGTTGCCCCTGCAGCATGTAAAGTGATTTCCACACCCTCTTGTCTGCTTTACTTGGGTAAACTTCCACTGCAATGGCAGGATGCTCTGCTGTGGCCTCTTTACCTCCTGTTTCAACCAGGAACAAAAGAGGCAAGAATTAAATACCAGAGAGTTATTCAAGACAGGAAGGAGAGAAAGACAGGAAAAAAAAAGGGTAGAGTGGATAGGGAAGATGTGACAAAAGCAAGTAGGGGAGTGGCAGTCCTCGTACACAGCCTCATCCAAGTATTAGGATCTCTATTCAACTGCCCACAACCTCTGGCATTATTCTTTCCCATTCCCCTTGCATTTCAATCTTCAGCCTATTCTTCTTCCCACCGTTGCACCCGTACTTCTGTACCTGTTTCATAGCTCTTCTGAAACCACTATGCAGGATCTTCTCCCGAATCCAGAGCTAGCTCTTCCTAGCCCATGTATGTGCATGCTTTGAGGCCCTGTGAGCTGTGCATGGTCTTGATTTTGTCTGCCAACTTCTGCCTCACCGAAATTGCTGAGCAGTATGGGATAATATACGTGCCTTGTTCCTTGGAAATCCCAGGCCCTGTGCAGTAAGCCAGCCCTCACAATTGATCCAGTCTGTTGTGATAACTCCTGTAACATACCCTACTCCCTAGGGTTGGATTTGAGACAGCTGGTGGTATTTTGATTTTCCAGCTCCATGTTCTCTTGTCTCCTCTTCTCACCTCTTCTACATTTTTTTTTTTGTCTATCTCTGTCTTTTCTTTTTGTCTGTGTTCCATCCATGGAAAAACTGCAGGCATCCCTCACTCAAGTAAGTGCCTCACTCTGCATTTCTTTCACTCTCTCTTTATGTTCCTAGAGTGTTCCTCTAACATACATAACGTTAGCTTTTAATCTAGTACCTTTTTCCTCTCAGAGTCTTTAGAAAAGAAGTAACTGGTACTGTCTATTTCCTAACAAGACTGACACTAGAGTAGACATCCTATTATGGGTAACACTGCTCTTTTTTAGAACAGAATTAGGGGTTAACATCTTTGTCTTTATTGTAAAGCATGCCATTCAAATATTTAACTTAGTGATTGTCTAATAACAATAGTTAGCTTGTCCGTTCCAGAGAGGAGTAGTGGAAGGCTTCATGTTAATGAATCGATGAAAAAAATTCGAATTTTAATGAAATGTAGGTAATTCACGGAGAAAAAACCAAACAAACCACCAAGATAAAGTTTTAGCTAAATTACAGAACTCATTTAGAGTCAAACTAAGAGCCAAACAAAAACTTTGTAATTTTTAATATCTTCACAATTTTGACAGCAAAAACATCAAGAAAAAAATCACATTTATTCCCTGTATTCACTAATACTTTTTACTATTAATAGTCTCTGAACAGTCTTCCAGCACTTGTGTAGATTGTATACTCAAATAAATAAATAAACCTCATACTAAATAAAAAAATGCATGTTCCCCCCTTCCCAATGCAAAATGAGTTAGAGAGATTTGATTAATATGTTTAATTGTCAGTTGGGTTCAGTGAAACATTGCATGCTCCATAGCTTTGTGCCTTTCAAATCAGAGTTATTCAGTGGCAGCTAAAAGAAGCCTCTTTATCTAAGTGAGCATTATTCTGGTTTTTAAAGTATGTGTCCTTGTGGTGAACTGTTGTTATTCCCAAGACTGCATAGGCAAGCTTTATGAAGCTGCTGTTGCATTGCTTTAGCTTTCTGAAACTGAAGTAAAAAAGAAAGGGGTTGGTATTTTTTTTTTTGGTTGGGGTTTTTTGTTTGGTTGTTTTTTTTAACCCTAATTTCAGGATTTGAATCATGCTTGTGCTATTTTTCATTAGAGATTGTATTATACAAAATTTAGCAGACCACTAGCAGGATGAATGGATTGGTAGTCAAGATGGATGAATGAATGGACAGACAGAATTGCAAATTGCAGTAGTTACAAAGAGTCAACTGGGAGACGTGTTTCCAGAACACATGTGCAGTTTGTTGCCTAAAATTGTTTGGTGCCTGTTAATTTTAGTAGAAGTAATATATCCTTTATATCAAGTTAATCATAGTTAGTATTATAACTATAAGGCAAATGATTTGGTAGGCCCTTCTGAATTGGACATAATCAACAATAATGCAAGGGAGATAAGGGTTTAGGTGTTCAGTCTCTGTGGAAATTAGTACCATAGGAAAAGGGAAAAGATCCAATTAAGAAGAGAGGAAAAGGAACATTGAAAGCTTTGTTTCAGCCACATCGACAGATCTGTCTGCCAAGCTTCATGTTCATCACTTGGGGACAGGTACGTGGTTTTGAAGAACATTAAATCACGCTTGTAGTAGAGTTTTTTTGCCTTTTTATTTTTTAATGTGGCAATGGGCTATCAATCAGCCTGCAGTCCCTAACTCTCCTCCCTTGTAGGCTGAGTTCCAGTTCTTTTTTCCTTCTTTGTGGGCTATAACTTTTTTTTTTTCATTTATAAATTAAATTCTTCTGATACTCTTTCAAGCACATTTATGCCTTGCAGCTGTGATCATTCTGAGCATTTGGTTCTCTAATTCTTTCTCTGGGTTCTCAGAGCCCATCTCGGATAATGAAGTGAGTTGCAGCAATGGCGAAGAGATTGTTGGCACAACAGAAATGCCTTTTTTCATCTGTGCTGGGATGCCAGTCGCACAATATTACCTGTTTGTGGGCAAAGTCAAAATCAAGAAAAAGCTGGGTGTTCCCTAGTCTAGTGTGATTTAAAGGTCACAGAAATGTTTTGGGAATTTTACAGGAAAGACTGTAAAAACTGTGGTTTGACACGAGCCAAGGCTGTATTTTCAGACTAGCCAAGCAGCTCGTTTTCCTTGCCCTATTATTTAAAGTTTCTACTTGAATGTAAACACTGGCACCATTCTAGTTTAATGCCTGCTGGGATATGTTCATCTTTCTTTTTCTTTTTGGTTTGTTTTTTTTTTTAATTATTATTTTCCTCAATAAGCAAAAAGTAGTTTATTTCTATCTTAGAGGCACATGAAGGCCTAAATAATTGGTGATAATGATGTACTGTACTAGCACAGGTGGGAATTGTGGGGTTGGGAGGATATCTGCCTAACTTGACCTGGGTTTTTATTTTCATCCCAACAATTTGCTGGTTTTCTGCATTTCCTTTTCCTTATAAATCTGAAGACAAACAAAGGCTGCACACAGACCTCGTGAATGGTTTCTTTTTGAGCCCCAACTGTTTCTTGCTGTTGTGCAGGTGGGACCCAAATGTGTGTTAAACCACAAGAGTCTCCGTGTGTATGGTGGTTTTGGTTCTGATATCAAAATACCTTCAACGACAAAAACCCCAAACAAAAACACCCCAAACCAAAACAACACTAAAATAATCCCCAAATTCCACCAGGTCCTAAACTGGCAATAGGATGGTTCGTAATGACCTTCACCGAAATAGCGGTCGAAAACGTGTAGGCTGTGTTTTGCTGCCATACAGACATTGCTGGCCAGCATCTCTTCTGGCCTTAAATGGCATTGGTTTGCGCTCCTGGGAATGTTGGTGAACAGTGGTGTGTGTTTGGTCATCCTATGTTATGAGAAAGTTGATTTAAAGCATGAACTCACAGAAGATCCAAAATGCAGGTCTGGCAAAGTGCACTTACTTTGCTTGCGTTCTGTGTCCAGAGAGGCTTGATCTGACAGAACCTTACCAGTTTGTTTTTTAATTTTCCATCTTTTGGCAGTATTTAAGAGGAATCAGCTCCCCTCCTCACCTTCTTTCTCTTTCTTTAGCAAGTGCTGCTGCACCCACCTCCTGTTTAGCAGAGAGTGAGTATTCTAGAAGGGACTGTTGTCTTTGTTCTGCTTTGCTCTGCATGCATCTCCTCACTGAGTGTGGTGCAGTCTGCCTAACATCCTTGGCTGTTTTCCTTCTTTTCTGTGTATATCTATCTATCTATCTATCTATCTGTCTTCCCCTCCGCCCCGTGAAAACTGATTGTTCAGGCAGAGGAACTACAGATAAGCGTAAGTTTGATTTCCAGGACAGAGAAAAGCCACAGACAGCTCCCAGGTACGCTGGACTCATGGAAGGAGAGAGATCAAGAGAAAGATGCAGAGTGAAACCCTGCCCATTTGAAAGCTGGCTGTTGTCACCAGCCTTTGTTAAGATTTATGATTAGTTTGTGTTCCATTCTTGGCGGCATCTTATAGGATATGCTCAGCTTTTGTGGAGTGAAGCTAAATTTCCCAAAATCAACAGCACAGCAAATAAAGACTTTAGTTTCTCAGCTAAATAAAGTGGAAGATACTCAAGCGATTGTCAGGGCAAGGCTTGTTCTTCCCTAAGCCTGTTATGAAGACACCTTCCTGGAGCTGAGGGAGAAAACTCATTTCTTTATATCCTGTTTCATCTTTTTTTTTAAATCTGCATTATCAGTTTTAGGCTGCAAACCACATGAAGGTCTATTCTGTTCTCCCAGAACAGCAGCACTGTTATCACCATGGCAAGAAAATTAATTCATAGAGTCATAGAATATCCCAAGTTGGAAGGGATCATCGAGTCCAGC